CGGCCTCCACGTTCTTCGGAAGGTTGTTCAGCCAGCCCACGTCCTCGTCGAACCTCACCGCAGCCGCAACCGCCCCCCCCCCCCCCCATGGATGCCAGCAGAGAGGCCGCTGAGCGTGGCAGGCGCCCTCCCCTCCTCAGCCTCCGACTACTCCTCCTCCTCCAGCCCCATTCATCCTCTTCCTGCTCCTCTTCCGCCGCATTCTCCTACCACTCCTCTTCCGCCCCGTCCTCCTACTCTCCCTGCCTTACCGTCTCCCTCCACTCCATTCTCCCCCTCCACCCTCTCCCCCCTGCCCTTCCGCTGTCCATTATCCCTCCTCCTTCCCACCCACTGCCTCTCCCTCTCCACCTCCTAAGCATTTGTGTAGCACACGTCGCCTGTCCTCATCGCTCCATCCTTCCAACGTCCATCACACCTAATCGAATGTCCGTACATGGATCGATAAGTCCGTCCATTCATATGTGCATGATCCATCCTTGTGCCAGTCCACTCCCTGGCCCGTCATGACGACCAGCAAGTGATCGCTGTCGTCCCGACCTTCAGCACGATTATAAAGGTCATCAGCAATGCCAACACCATCAACTCGACCACTGTCATTGCCGGTATCCATAACACCAGAATGATGATTCACCATCCCTTCCTCCTCCTCCCCTGCTCCTCCTCCTCATCCTCCTCCTCCTCGTCCTCCTCCTCCTCCTCCTGACCCTCCTCCTGACCCTCCTCTTGACCCTCCTCCTCATCACTCCTCCTCCACCTCCTCCTCCTCCTCCCCCCTCCTCCCCCTCCCCTCCTCTTCCTCCCCACCTCCTCTCCTCACCTCCTCCTCCTCCTCCGCCTCCCTCCTCCTCCTCCTCCTCATGTCTCCTCCTCCTCTGCTCCTCCTCCTGCCTCCCCTCCTCCTCCGTCCTCCTCCTCCTCCTCCTCTCCTCCATCTCCTCCTCCTCCATCTCCGTCCTCCTCCTCCTCCTCCTGCTCCTCCTCCTCCTCCTTCTCCTCCTCCTACCCCTCCTCCTCCCCCCTCCTCCCCCCTCCTCCTCCCCATCAACATCACAATCATCATCATCATCATCATCATCATTCATCATCTAACATCATCATCATCATCATCATCATCATCATCATCATCATCATCATCCTCATCAACAATCATCATCATCATCATCATATCATCATCATCATATCAGCAGCAGCACATCATTCATCATCATCATCATCATCATCATCATCATCATCATCATCATCATCATCATTCGTCAGCATCATCATCATCATCATCCATCATCATCATCATCATCATCACAATCATCAGATCAACCTCACATCAGTATCATTCATCATCAATCCTCATCACATCAGCAACATCATCACATCATCAAACAGCATCAGCATCATCAGCATCATCCATCATCATCTCATCAGCAACATAATCCAGCACAATCGTCAGCATGCAATCAGCATCATCCATCATCATTCAACAGCATCATCATCATCACATCACCATCATCAGCATCAGCATCATCATCAGCATCATCAATCAACAACCTCATCGCTCATCCTCATGCCCTCATCACCTAATCATCATCATCATCATCATCATCATCATCATCATCATCAGCACCATCATCAGCACCATCATCATCATCATCATCACATCATCATCATCAGCATCAGCATCATCATCAGCATCATCATCATCAGCATCATCATCAGCATCACCATCATCAGCATCAGCATCATCATCATCATCATCATCATTATCATCAGCAGCAGCATCATCGTCAGCAGCAGCATCAGCATCATCAGCATCATAATCAGCAGCAGCAGCATCAGCATCAGCATCAGCATCATCACCATCATCAGCATCATCGGCATCAACAGCATCATCATCACCAGCATCATCACCATCAGCATCATCATCGTCAGCATCATCATCATCAGCAGCATCACCATCAGCATCCGCATCATCAGCATCAGCAGCAGCAGCATCATCAGCATCATCAGCATCATCAGCAGTATCAGCATCATCCTCAGTATCAGCATCATAAGCATCAGCATCAACCTAAGCATCAGCATCATCAACATCATCAGCAGTATCATAATCATCATCAGCATCATAATCGACAGCATCAGTATTACCATCAGCATTGTCAGCATCATCATCATCAACATAATCATCATCATCAAAAATCACCAGCAGCATCAGCATCGTCAGCATCAGCATCATCATCAGCATCAGCATCAGCATCATCACCATCACCATCAGCATCATCAGCAGCATCAGCATCAGCATCAGCTTGATGATCGTCATCATCCTCATCATCAGCATCATCAGCATCAGCATCATCATCATCATCATCATCATCATCATCAGCGTCAGCATCATCAGCATCATCAGCATCATTATCATCAGCATCGTCATCATCATCAGCAGCACCAGCATCATCAGCATCACCACCATCATCGACATCAAGTATCACCATTAGCAATACCATCATCAGCAGCATCATCATCATCATCATCATTATCTGCATCACCACCATCATCGACATCAGCATCACCATCAGCATCAGCAGCGGCATCAGCATCAGCATCAGCATCATCAGCGTCAGCATCAGAATCATCATCAGCAGCATCAGCATCCGCAGCAGCATCATCAGCATCATCAGCATCATCATCGTCATCATCAGCATCGTCATCATCATCAGCATCATCAGCATCATTAGCATCATCGGCATCACCACCATCAGCATCATCATCCGCAACAGCAGCAGCAGCATCACCATCCTCCTCTTGTCCATCCCCCCTCTCCGCCCGCGGGCGGGGAGGGGGCGAGGAGCGGAGCGGGGAGAGAGGAGAAGGAGGCAGACGGCGCCGTCGCCGTCGGCCGCCGCCCGCGTCGCCGTCGCCCGCGTCGCCACCGCGGCACGCCGCGGCCGGCCGGCCGCCGCCGTCCTCGGCGCCGTCGCTGTCGCAGCCGGCGCCGCCGCCGCCGACGCCGCCCTCGCCGAGGCCCCGCGGCGGAGCGGCCGGCGCCTGGCCACCACCACGGTGCGCCGCGGCAGCAGCGCCTCCGCCGTGGCGTTCGGGGCGGGCGCGCCGAGCGCGGCCGCGGCCAGGGCCTCCGCGGAGGGCAGCGCCACGCCGCTCGCCCGCAGGTGCGCCAGGTACGCCGCGATGCCGTCGGAGGGCGGGGCGGCTCCGCCGCCCGCGTCGTCCTCGGCGGCGGGGCTCGCGAGGAGGCACGGGCCGCCCTGCGGCCCTCCGCCCTGCGGCCCTCCGCCCGCGCCCTCCCCGCGCCCCGACCAGGCCCAGCGCTCGACGATCTGCGTGCACGTTGCGGGCACGATGTCTGTCCATGTCCACTGCGTCTTGGGCGTTCTGGGGAGGGGCGCCGAGAGGCCGCGGCGCAGTGGGCATGGAGAAACATCTGGCCTCTGGGGGCGAAACTGCTTTGTCCATATCCACAGCGCCTCTGGCATCGGAGGAGGGAGCCCGAAACTCCAAGACGCAGCGAGTATGGATAGAAGTCTTGCCCGCACAAGTGCTCCCCGCCCTGGCCACTCCAGTGGGCAGCGGAGGCCACTTCAGTGGCCTGCGCTGCTGCACGGAGGGCGCTGGCTGTACGCCTGCGCCCGCCCTGGCCGGGCCCGTCCGGGGCCCAGGATCGGCGGAGGCGCCACCATGTCTTGGCAGACCAGACGGAAGAATCCACTGATGCTTGGACCAGGATCGGCTTGGCCCGAATCTGCGCAGATGTCTAATCTACGCTCCCCAATTCACCCAGGCACCTTCCAGCGAACCCCGAGGAGGCCCAGAAAACGCTGAAAAGCGTTGGGCTTTTCGATGGCTCGTTGCCTCTCGCACTCTTTGCTTCAAAGGGGATCGTTAACGGTGCACAAAGAGATTACCGAAGAGGGCCCCAAGGGGCTCCCCGTGAGGCTCCAAGGTGCCTTTACGATCGTCTGATCTGGTGGAAGATGTCACCCCAGAGTGGCTTAAAGATGGCCCTGGTGTGCCCCAAGGAGACCAATCGTTCCGAAGCCCGCTGCATTGCCTTAAGAAGCCCAAGGTCAGCCCTGAAAAGGCTCGGCGTCAGAGCACGCAACACTCAGGACCTCGATCCCTCCTCTGAGGAAGGCGCCAAGAGCAGAAGAGCAAAAACCAAGCAATTGCATAAACAGAAATGCCCGGAGCATCGCGCGGAGTTCTTGGGTCCGCGCTGGACCCCCTTCTCTGACGCGCGCAGCACGCTGGGGGCGGCGCCGCTGGCGCCGCCAGAGGGATCCGGCGCCGGCCGAAGAGATCCGCGCATGCCCGCGAAAGTCTGCGTGTACGCACGTCCCATGTCTTCGAAAGAAGCACGAGCGTGGCAGTGTCGGTCAGCGCCGACTCTCAGGAGCTCCTCCACGCCAGCCGCGTCGGGAGCACCGCGGAGAGCGCCAGCGTGCGCAGCTTCCGCATCGCGTCGGCGGACCTGGCGCCGGCGCGCAGCGGCGGGATGTAGGAGGGTACCAACTGGACGGCCGGACCCAGGACAGAAGAACATGCTCCAAGAACATGAGACCCTCAGCCTGCCAAACTGAAGAACCTTCGAAGGTGCCCTCCCCCAGGATGCACGAGAATATCCAACAAACACGGAGAACATTAGGGTGCCCTCCCGAAACCGACCTCGATCTTGCACCGGCGGCGCGCAAAAGGGGGTAGGGGGAGGGGGGAAGGTTTCTTAGAAGGAGGCTGCAGGCGCTGGCCTTACATCTATCGAGAAGGCCCACGCCTTCTAAGAAGCAGGGGTGCTTCTAAGAAGCCTTCCCCCCTCCCCCTACCCCCCTCTGCGCGTGGCCAAGATCGGCGCAGGCGTAGTAGGAAAAAGAAAAGCAGCATAAGCCGAAGCATAAACATAAGCAAAAACATACGCATTAAAGAAAAGTCTGCATAAACATAAACTTCTGGCGCTCCACGCGGATTTGTTGGATCCGCGCTGGACCCCCTCCCCGGCGCGCAGAGCGGGCCAGGGGCGGCGCCAGAGGCGCCGCCGGGGGGGGGGGGCCCGTGGCGCAGATCCAAGAAATGCGCGCGGAGCGCCACAAGTTTATGTTGATGGCGTTTTGTTCGGCTTCGATGTGCAGGTGCACGTGCATGTGGGGAGCCCAAAAGGTACCGATGCCGATACCCCCCGGACCTCTCCCGGGGGTGCGTTCTGACCAGAATTTCCAGGCGAACACAGCGGTGGCGACGAGGGCCTCCCAGGAGGCCCGAAAAGAGGAAAACGGCCGAAGGCTGGAGGTGCGGGTACCTTTTCCTCCTCTGAGCGCGTGGCTGGCGCCTTCCGAGGAGGCACCAGCTTGACGGGGAGATCCTGTCGACTGCACGCAAGAGTGACCCTGGGTAAGAGTGACCTCTGGTGCGCGGCTTCTTGGGGGGCCGCGGGGGGGACCAAAAACGAGCGCGCGAGACGCAACCATCGCATCGCAGTCGGCGATCGGGGGACCCCGTGGGGCCAGAGCACCAAAGGTCGCTCCAGCGAAAGGTCACTCTTACGTGTAGGGGATCCTGGCACTGCGCCGCGGCGGGAAGCCGGCACGGCTGGGCGACCTCCCTGGGCGACCTCCCTCTCCCTCTGGAGGGGCACCCGATGAGGCCCGGGCACCCCGCGGGAGGGCACAGCACGACTGGAGAGGCCCGAGGGTCCTGCGCAGGAGCTCTGGGCAGCAGCGCGGCACTCTCGGCGGCGAGCGAGGGGGGAGCGCGGAACTGGTCTTCGGGCCGATGGGAGACCCATGGCGTTGCCTTCTTCGGGCCCTGCCACGAGTCCTCTTCCAGCCGTCTCGAGCAGTCTTGGGGGCCTCCTTGACGTGTTGGGACGTCTTTCGGCGGCGAGCGAGGGGGGGAGGAGAAGGAGGAGGCCTTCTCAGAAGGCGGCGGGGTTTCTCAGAAGTCCTCGCGCCTTCTAAGAAGTTTTTTGTCTGTCTTCGAGGAAGGCTCAGAAAACTTCTCAGAAGGCCAGGGGACTTCCGAA